GCTGCTGGATCGCTTCCAGGAAGGGCCGGCGGTCCCGTCTTTCTGAAGCACGCCGTTCTTTCAAAACCTTTAGACTCCGGTTCCAGCTGTCCGGTGTTCAAAGGACACGGGTGTTATGTCACTTGGAGGGCGGCTGTTGCGTGTGTTTATGCGGACCTGTTGGCCCGTCTCGGTAAACAGAACGGTGCCAGGGCATGGGCTCGAGTGCTGGGACACAGTGCCGCTGCTGACAGTCCCCAACGTTGTTTTTGCGACAGCCAAACGGTGCTTTTGACTCCGGTTCCAGCTGTCCGGTGTTCAAAGGACACGGGTGTTATGTCACTTGGAGGGCGGCTGTTGCGTGTGTTTATGCGGACCTGTTGGCCCGTCTCGGTAAACAGAACGGTGCCAGGGCATGGGCTCGAGTGCTGGGACACAGTGCCGCTGCTGACAGTCCCCAACGTTGTTTTTGCGACAGCCAAACGGTGCTTTTCCAGAAGACGCCAGGGTACAACGCGGAGAACAGCATGGGCTCATCTCCAGAGGCCGCACCACTGAAGGGGAAGACAGTCCAGCCGCATGGATGCAGAACACACAAGGGTGTTTATTCTCAGGGCCAGAGAACGGGCATAGACCCTTTCTGTTTGCTAGCACACACACAGCCTTTTTGACTTAGAGCCAGATTCAGAATGGCACTCAGGTTCATAAACTACAGCTTAAGCACTTAATCAGCAACTGAAAACCTAAATGTCTCTATGGATTTGGAGCCTGCAAAAGTCATGAGCAGATGCAGTATTGCAGGTGGTCTTTTACTTTCCCTGCTGTATCACTGACCCTGTTATACTAGTCAAACCCCTAGGTTACCAACATCTAGCTGCAAAGACTTTTTCTTTGCCTCTACTTCTCTTCCCCCTAACTCTGAATAGCACTGTGGTTTCTCAGTCTTCTCTGTTTCCTCCTTTTGCATTTGGGCCACAGCCTCTAGTACCGCTTATTTTTCTTACCCCAAGGGAAGGCTTGTCCACTCTGACCTTGACCTTTGCTTCCTTTCTAACAACAGGGGTACATACAAGCTGAATTACATTGGTTTGGGGGAGAACACAGAGCTACTGTTGATCTCAGGGAACCGTTTATTAGAGTTAAGAAGATGGATTTAAGGAAATGGCTCTTGAATAAGGTGCTAGACTGTTAGTTTAACCAGTGGATAATTTGGGATTTTTTTTTTTTTTTTTGCTTTCTTGCTAACAGCCCTACAGTGTTAACACAGACAAGGATATTAATTTTGAATTGGAAATCCTCCATGTTATCTTCAAAGCAATTCTGAATACTGTGTGTGATCTTGAGCATCTCAAAATAGAACTAAGAGGCTAGATTTGCTGGCACCTCTTCGAAAGAGAAGGGAAAGACAGGTAGTTTTTACATCCTTATTTTTTAACTTCTCTCCCCGGAAAAAAAGACAGACTGCTGTTGCCTTACAAGGGCATCAGCTTATGATAAACTCAAAGCATAGCTAGTTTGTAACTAGGTGCATTTATGTATTCCTGCAGCACAGCTACCAAAGGCAAATGTTGGTACCCAGTTCTTTCTCTATTTGTTAAGAAACATTGTTAGATCTGTTTATATCTGAATATGTTTATGCGCTGTTTTCCATGTCTGAGACAGGTATTTAACTGCAGTCTGCTGTCTATATACATTTTAGTTTAGTAAAAGAAGGGCTTCTAGATGTTCATTTGAAGACTTCGAGGTAGTAACTTTAAGGTAAAATCCTAGGCACAGTGAATCCTAGGCACACCAGAGGCATTGTGCTAAAATTGGGATTTCATGACTGACTCTAGGAATATATGTAGCGTAGCAGAGTTGAAGAGAATATGTCCAGTCCTGGAAAGGCACCTTTAAGGTATAAGAGAAATCTGCATTTGTTATAATACCACCACATCTTTTTCTCAAGGGAAGAGTTGAGGAAAAAGTCCATTGTGAAGAAAGGCATACTTCACTACTGTAAAAGTAAAGATGGAAATACCTAAAGTTGATAGACAGGAAAAACTAGCATTCTGATGGCCAGAATTCACGTAATCAAAGAAAAAATAAAGGACAAAATATATTCCAGGTTGGGATTAAAATGCTGTTATTTATTTCTACAGGCAGAAAGCAGTGCAGAGCCAATTTGTTTCAGATAGTGTTGTGAAAGAGAGACTTCTCAGATCACAGCTACCCAGACTGAGTGGATGGAAATACAAAAGTTACTGTTAAACTGAGGGAGGGCATCTGGAAATAAATTAAGCAAAATAATGAAAACCTGTTAGAAACAAGATTCATCTTATTTAACAGTCCACCTCATTCACTGGGAAAGAGCCTTTTTTTCTGCCCACAAAAACCCAATGATTTTTATATGAGGAGCATTTTGAGAAGGAAAGATCCTTCAACAGCTTACAAGTGAGGTTTGTGCACAAGGTTCTGAAACTACAGTGTTTTCATCCCACTTGCAGGCTCTTCCGGGAATCATTTCTCAAATCTTTCCAAACATGTTTTCCTGTTTTGAGAATGTATTGCAGGGCACTGTAGTGTTTAGAAGCCAAAACTTTATAAAAGTATCTTTAGGAAAGTATTTTCATGAAGCTGTAATACTGTTCCACGAGTATTATCCGGAGCGAGTGCTTTCTGATAGCGTAGCAACAGATGTTGCCAACTGAACAGAGCTTTGAAACTTGAAAGGAAATGCAGCCTTTGGTAATTTAGAACAAAGATTAGAGAAAACCAAGGGTTATTGCTACTGAAAAGTATGGGAACATAGGAAATACACAAAGAAGTGTTAATAAAGTGTTAAAAGACTGAGACCCTAATTGCAAAAAGGAGTAATATTCAGGTATAGTATTCAGTTATATAATTTGCATGCATCAGCAAATGAACAGTAACTTGAATTCTTTGATCTGTGCAAGAGCACAGTGGGGATTGCTTTGGGAATACAGAATAATTCCCTTAAATTAATAAACTTTGAATGTGCTGACCTTTAAGTAATTAAAATCTCAACTTCAGTGTTTCGTTAACATTTGCATTAGTTCCCTTGATTTGGCTCTTTGAGGCTGCTGCTCAATAAATATAGCGGGATCGTCAAGTCTCCGGCGTTCCGTGTCATCAGAAAGCAGATGCTGAAACATCACTACGTGTTTGTTCTAGAGGGGCAGGTCTTGCTGTGCAGTGTTCCCTTTGACACAAACAGCGAACAGCGTATCGAGCTGCACTTGCTGCAGTCGTTCAACAGCAAAGAGAATTTGGAGTTGATCAGAGGGTGCAGAAGCGGGTTGGTTAGGTTTGCTTTCCGCAGAAGGTGTCACGGCAACAAAAAGAAGGTTTACATGAAAAAAATGAAAAAGAATGTTCAGAGGGTATATAATTTACATAAAGATGTATTTACAGAATCGCATTACACCTGCTCCTTAAAACAATAAACTCTGCTATTGCTAGGAAGCTATAAGGTATGCCTCACGGTATTCAAACCCCAAATCCACTCACCTCAACACAAGTCAGTTCTCCTGCGGAAAGTCTCCTTTACATATGGCACCCCTCCCCGCCCCCCGCCGAGGGCGGCCTGCCCACTGACG